CGACGTGGAGGGATGCTCTGAGGTCATGGCTACGGCCTCTTTCAGTCTTGGCCTCTCTCGGGACATAGATCTTTATAGGTTATTGAAGAAACGGATGCCAATAGACATGGGCAAGTTGATGATCTGAATTAACAAGTACTCTAAGGTAGAAGATAAGTTGATGGGGAGTAAAGGGAAGAGCTTGGCCCCAAAGAAAAAGGATAAGGAGAAAAAGGGAGACCCTCCTAGGAACGGTCTGATCTCAACATCGGGGTACTCCTTTAGAGGGACCTATACCGTATCCAAGGAGCCCATTTACAAGTTGTTACAAGATTAAGAAGGATCCATTTTTTAAGTGGCTACCCAAGATGTAGGGCAATATGTTCACTAAGAACCAATATACCAGATGTTTATACCACAAGGACGTGGGGCACCTTACCAAGGATTGCCCAGTGTACAAATCCTTCTTAGAGAAGTTGGTGTAGAAGGGATATCTCAAGGAGTACATTGAGGTGGATCCACCGAGGGAGACACGCACAGCCGACAACAAGGCCACTGTCTGCGGTAATATCATTGATGTCTGCACCCTAGAATGGCCAACAACCAACACTCTTAGGTCCGTCCTTAAGAGGGTAGCCTTCGCTAGGAAGGTGGAGGAGAAAGATGAGGGTCAACCTAGTAAGAGACCCTGGACGGATCAAGGGGGCATCACCTTCTCGAACCCTGACTTAGCAGGCGTGGTCCTCCCCATGAGGATGGCTTAATCATAACTTTGTTAATTGGAGGCATTGATGTCAAGAGGGTCTTGGTGGATTCGGGAAGCTCCTCGAAGGTAATGTACCTCAATGTGTTGAAGCAAATGGGTCTTGGATCCAAGGATCTTACCATTTTAAAGACACCCCTTGTTGGGATCAACAGAGTGTTTGCTCTATTGCTAGGGAAGATCACCCTACCGGTCACCACTAGGCCTGTCACAATCGACACGGAGTTCATGGTGATCGACTCTGATTCGCCATACAATATAATAATTGGGGCGGACTTGAATGCACTTGCTTGGGGCAGTGCACTCCACCTACCATCAGAAGTAAAAGTTCTCCACTCCGGAGGGGATAATGGAAATTTGTGGAGATCAAGCGTTAGCAAAAAGTTATTTTTATGCTTTTGTAAAAGCCGAAGTCACCTCCAAGGAAAAGGAGCGTGCCCCGGAGGAAGTGTTGAACAAATAGGAACTACGGTTTTAGCGACTTGGTACCAATGAGCCGTGGATTGATCCAGTCGACTGCTCCATGGAGGACCTTTGAAAGGTGCCCCTAAGGGAGGGGGACGAGGACAAATATTTCCAAATTGGCTCCACCATGTCCGCGGCCGAGCAGGAGGAGATGGCTAATTTCTTAAGGAAGAATGTAGATGTGTTCGTATGGGACGTTGTGGAGCTGAAAGGCATAAGCCCAGATGTTATAACTCACAAACTTCATGTCGACCCCAATCATAAGCCCATCAAGCAAAAGCCTTGGCGTACGGTGCTGCACTATGCTCAGGTAGTGAACGAAGAGGTAGAAAGGCTCTTGGAGGCCAACATCATCCGAGAGGCATAATTCCCAGAATGGTTGTTGAACACCATCTAGGCAAAGAAGAAGAGTGGGAAGTGGCGTATCTACGTGGACTTCATGGACTTGAACAAGACTTGTCCCAAAGATGATTTTCCCCTCCTTAAGGTTGATCAACTGATTGACGCCACAGTCGGGCACGAACACATGGCCTTTATGAACGGTCGAGCTTGCTATCATCAGATCCCCCTCCACCCACCTTATCAGGAGAAGACCGTTTTCATCACTCCAAGGAGGTCTACTGTTTCAAGATTATGTCGTTCAAATTAAAAAACGTGGATGCCACATATCAGAGGCTAATGAACTGAATGTTCAAGAGAAAATTGGGAAGCACCATGGAGGTGTACATTAACGACATGCTAGTCAAGAGCAGGAGTTAGAGTGATCACATCGCGAACTTGGAGGATGTCTTCTCCACTCTCCGTGAGTATGGGCTGAAGCTGAATACAACTAAATTTTCCTTTGGAGTTGGCTCTATAAAGTTCCTGGGGTACTTAGTGAGTCGGTGTAACGTTGAGGCCAACCCAGAGCTGATACAAGCTATCATGGATGTACGTAGCACCCAGACCTTTTGAGATATCCAAAAACTCACGGGAATGTTGGCCGCCTTAAATCATTTTATATCCCAGTCATCAGACAAGTGTAAGCTCTTTTTTGGTGCCATCGAGAGGTCCGAGAAGGATATTTGGAATGATGAATGCGAGAAGGCAAGGCACTCGGAGGGATCAAGGAGTACCTTAGGCTCCTCTTAACCCTACCTATTCTGGACAGGGGGAGATGTTGTTCCTCTACTTGGCCATTTCCAAGTTTGCCGTTAGCGGTGTACTGGTCCACGAGTATGAGCATGAGAAGAAGTTGGTGTACTATATAAGCAAAGCTCTCCTAGATGTGGAGTCAAGATACTTGCCTTTGGAAAAACTTACATTACCACTAGTCATGGCTGCCAAAAAAGTTGAGGCATTATTTTCAAGCGTACCCCATCACCCTCATAACAGATCAACCCTTGAAGGCAATCCTAAAGAAGGGTCAAGTGCTAGAGGATTCCATAGCTGAATTTACCAAAGGAGAGCCACCTCCACGGACAACCAAGTGCACTCCTGGAGACTTTACATGGATGGATCCTCCAATAGCAAAGGGTCCAAAATTAGAGTATTATTAGTCTCCCATATGGGATTAGTCATAGAGCAAGCTGTACGGTTGGGGTTCAAGTCATCCAAAAATGAGGCAGAGTACGAAGTCCTCGTCTTTGATCTTAAACTCATGGATGTAGTAGGAGCTGCAGAGCTTATGGTCCTTTGTGATTCCTTACTAGTAGTCAACCAAATCAACGGGGAGATTGAAGCAAGGGATCCGAGAATGAAAGCCTATCACCACAAGTCATGACCTTGCTCCACAAGTTCAAGAAAGTGGAAGTCAAGCAGGTCCCCTGAGATAAGAATGTCCATGCCGACACTTTGGCATGTCGGGCCTTGTCATTTGACTCGGACATAACACGAAGGATTACTATGGAGTTCCTCCCCAACTCCAGCATAGACGATGTCCCCAGAGTGGCAACCATCCTAGAAGGGGAGGAGTCCCCGAGCTGGATAGATCCACTACTTAAGTTCCTTGTCTCCGGGGAACTCCTTGAGTGTCCCAAGGAAGCTAAAAAGATAAAGTTAAGGCCCCTAAGGTTCTAGGCCTCCCCAAAATCAAAAGTTGTACTGAAAAATTGTTCTTTGGATCCTATTTGCTTTGTGTCCGCAAAGATAAAGTTGAGCCCCTCCTGTATGAAGTGCACGAAGGCATGTGTGGAAGGCACTCGGGTGGAAGGTCCATGGCCCATCGGATCATGTCGCAAGGATATTGGTGGTCGCAAATACAAAGGGATGCACAAGCTTATGCTCAAAAATGTAACCAATGTCAAAGGTTTGTTCCCACTATTAAAAAACTAGCAAGAGATCTACACCGGCTAACCAGTCCTTGGCTGTTTGCCCAATAGGGACTCAGCCTAGTCAGACCCCTCCCAAGGACTCCTAGAGAAGAAGTTCCTAATAGTTGGGACTGATTACTTCACCAAGTGGGTTGAGGCTAAGCCATTGAATCATATTAGGAATGCAGATACCAAAAGGTCCATGTGGAAAGAACATGGTAACAAGGTTTGGGGTCCCCCGTGCGCTTGTGTTGGACAACGGGACTCAGTTTAACAACGGACCCTTCAATTGTTTTTGTGAGCACCTCGAAATTCAGAATTATTCTCCATCCCCTCGTACCCACAAGCCAACATACATGCGGAGTCTTCAAACAAGACCATTATCAGCAGAATCAAGAAGAGATTGGAGAAATCTGAGGAAAAATGGGTGGACGAGCTCCTGAATATCCTTTGGGCTCATAGGATAACCTCGCGGACCTCAACGATTGAAACACCTTTTGCCCTTACATATAGAGTAAAGGTTGTGTATCCCACTTGAGGTAGGCCTCCCCACTATAAGAACACAAACTTTTGACACTGGAGAGAACGATCACTAACTCGGCCTAGACTTGGATCTCGTGGAGGCAAGAAGAGAAATGATTGTCTTGAGACTAGCTAAGTACCAATAAAGGGTGTACAAACGCTACAATAAAAGCGTAAAATTCCAAAGATTTTAATTAGTTGACCTGGTGCTCAAAAGGGTAGTCGAAAACACTCGTGAATCGACTGATGAAAAAATGGAACCTAATTGGGAATGACCATACAAAGTTATGTTAGTAGGAGGCTCCAGATCATACAAGTTAGAGCATATGGAAGGAAATGTTGTACTCCAGCCTTGGAATGTAATGAACTTGAAAAAGTACTATTTTTGAGAAACAAAAGCTTATTTTGCTTAGTGTACTATCTTGGTAGGGGCATAACCTCAGAGGCATAATCTTAATACTTTTGCCTCCAAAGAAACCAAGGAGCAGAGCCTCCTAGAGGGGGCATGGCCCCAGAGGCGAAGTATAAAAGCTTCTGCTCTCGAAGAGATGAAAGGGGCGCAACCTTCTTGATGGGGCATGGTCTCGAAGGTGAGGCCTTAGAAAAAGACTCACCCCAAAAAAACCCAAGGAGTGAAGCCTCCTTGATGGGGCATGGTCCCGAGGGTGAGGCCTTAGAAAAAGATTCATTCTAACAAAACCCAAGGAGCGAAGCCTTGATGATGAGGAATGGCCCCAGAGGGAGAACACTTAGGAATTTCTCCATAAAAGAAGCCGAGGCCAAGGACGGACATTACTCCCAAAGAGAAGGAGGATCCTGGCCTTGGGTCTTGGAACCCCAGTCCTGAGGAATTACAACTTAAAAAAAAAAAGACAAACACTTGGAAAAAGAAAGGCATTGTTGTATTGAAAGAAGGGAGGGCTTTGCGTTCCTCAAGCTACAAAAAATAGAAACTAAGTTAAAAGGAAATAAAAGCTAGTCTAAGGAGCCTCAATGACCTCGCCGCCGATGCCACCTCCAATGTTGCCAAAAAGCTTATCGATGCTCGCAGAAAAGTAGTCAATACTACGAGAACGAGGCACTACATCAGCAAGAATAGTATAAGCATTGCCTTGGGGGGTAGGCACAATGTTAGCAGGGGCATAAGTTGGAGCAACGTCGACAGAAACTAGGCCTGAAGCAGCGTAAGCCAGAGCTGGAACTGTAGCAGCGTTGGCCGGAGCTGAAGCTGGAGCAGCATCAAAAGGGAGAAGAATAGATTCACCCCTGAGGTGCAAAAGTGGGGGCCACAGACTCGGCTATTGGAACTAAATTTAGGACTTGGGACGTCCCAACATCTTCTGCCATGACTTAGGTTATGGCTTGCACCATTTCTTCAAAAGGAATGTACTCGTGCACCTTGAAGAATGGAGACTTGGTAGGGAACCCGGTAGCCCGAAGTGCCTCGTCCCACCCAATCTGAAAGTGCTCCCTTTTAGTCTCTTCGAAGGCCACTTGGATGTCATCGACACATTAGTCAACTATTTCCTTTTCTGACTTCTTATTGTTCTCCAGCTTAGCCCTTAATTTGTTCAATTCTTGGGTGAGGGAAGCACAAGTTTGCTCTGACTCGGTTACCATTGCCTCAACCAAAGATACCTACTTCACTACCTTGATAATCTTCCTTTTGGCGTCAGTAAATGAAGCCTTAACCTTATTAGCTTCCCCTTCGACAGCCTAGCTCTCTTTGAAGAGTTCGGCGATCTAAGCCTCTTGAGTGAAAAAGGTCTTGTCCTGAGCCATCTCCTCCTTTGCCATGGTAAGTGCTCCTCAAACTTTCTCAAGGTTGGATTGGAGTCTCTTACATTCCAAAATCTTGTTCTGGTGGGCATGGAAGTGCTTGGCAATAACAGATACCTATTGAGCTACCTAGAAGACAAAGAAAGGAAAGATTATACCGGAGGAAATTCTAAAGAAATAAAGAAAGAAAAAATTCACAAGTGTTGAAGCCTTATCACCAAGGAATTCTGGATGACGCTACAAAACAAGTTATTGCTCCCACAGCCTCGATGAATCGCCATGCTGGTTTCAAAATGAATTGCCTCACTCACTGTATAGGCCATATAGGGAGAGGCTGTGATGGAGTCAGTCACCCGAATCGGCTAGTTGTCACAATCTCGGGCTCTATCGTGCCACTTCTGAATAGTGGGGGTTGGCATGGGCATTGGGGTCGGTGTGGGTGTTGGTGTTGGCGTTGAATTTAGAGTCGGTGTCAGAGTGGGAGTGCCTCTACCTCGGCCAACACCATTATGCCTTTAATTTACTCTCATTTCTTCTTGTTGAGGATCCTTACCATGGGCTCGGCTGCACCCAGGTGGCGTTGGCACGATAGGGGCATCGGCTGAGGGAGGAGTGGGAAAGGGTGTGGACTCTTGGATTGTAACTCTAGAAGGGCGAGTGCTCCCCTAATTGGGAGTGAGCAAGAAATGAGGTGGATTGGACATGGTTGCTTCCAAAACGTCTTCTTCATTTAAGTTTTGAATAATGTATGATAATGTCGTCGAGATTAACTTGATTGCAAGGAGGGGCAGTAGACTCGGTGTTATAGATTCCAACAGAAAATGAGAAGATCAATAATAGAAGCAAGTATGGAAACATCAAGGGACTATAAATGTGAAAAGAGAGAGAAGAGTCGACGTACTTGTAGTTCGCCACTGCTTGGGTAACCACAAGTCGGCGTACTTGGGGCCGACTCCCCTCTCCCATTACTCACCAAAGATGAGCAAGTCATCTTTGTATCCCTTGTCAGAATCTGGAGGTGGATCACAAGGTACATTGTGGGGTCTTAGGCCTTGAGATAGAACCTCTACTGAGGCATCACTCTCACCAAAACATAGCAAAACAAGATCTCCTCCAAGCCGAGGCTCAATTGCAAACGATTGTTTAAAGTGACCACCCCCATGATAATCCTAAAAATGTTTAGGCATAACTATCCCGGGAATAGGCGAAATCGGGACAATAAGTGAAGAAGAAAGGAGTGGGGAGAAACCTAATGCCACCCTCCATAATAACTTTGGTGTAAAAAGGCACGGCTTCCTCAGTGTTGACAGTGCCACTATGCCGACCAAGCATGAAATCATCTACAGTAACCCCACGAGGAATGGAGTAGTGGGTCTTAAAATTAGTAATTTGCTGACGACCCTTGACGGTATATTTTCTTGGCCTCGAGGGACCAGCCTCATCAGCCCCAACCTTCGTACTCCAACGACATCTCAGCATAATATAGGTAGAGGAGGGACTCGAACAAGGAAGGTTTCTAGGGATGGGAGACCTAAGGGTCACTACAAAGGTAACAAGGAGGAACAGTGAAAATAGAGGGACAGTATGGTGCTGCTAGGACAGAGACACAAAGGAAAAAAGGGAGGATGATCACAAAGAAAGAAAAAGAAGAAAGAGAACAATTACTCACCAATGAACATGGCTCTAATACAGAGGAGAGGTTGGTGGCTCCTTGCTCGAGCGGATTCTGTGGAATTTGTGGCTTTCAAAAAAATCATGGATTCTTCAATGGAACTCTAGCGAAGGTCTCTAGCTTGGTGAAGATTGCAAAAATGGAGACGAGGGGCAAGGGCTTTGTTTAAATAGGGCCAAAGGCCATGATTACACACGATGGACGAGGAGGGGCGCATTAAATAAGGCACAAACCCCAAGGAAGGGAAAGCAGCTGAACGTGGGAGCAGGGATCAAGCCTTTTCATCTTCTCATGCCATGTCACCCTTGCTGTTCAATGATTAAGTATTGTGGGATAGTTGATTACTTTATCCGGTAAAGTTTACTAAATATCTTAAATAAATAATAAAAACAGAATAGCAAAATAAACATAATAATTGTACAAGAAATAAATCGTATTTTTTCAAGCAAAAATTGGTGAACAGTACATTCACCTGCACAATTTTGCCAATAAAATCAAGTATATGTTCTTCATCTTTCAAAATTTTGGTTCCATATCTCAAAAAGATTCTCTCTCGCGTTCAATTATCCAATTTTGAAAATTTTCATAAATTCATATTTTTTATCAAATCAATATTTGAATGTTTTAGAGATTTATATGTATATGTGTGTGTGTGTGTATATATATATATAGACACACACTTGAGTTCTTTTGCTTGAAAGACATAATTATGAATCAATTCAAAATGTTTTTTATTCACGAAACTTCTCAAATATTTTGACTATCATCTATTCAATATCGACAACAAAAAACTTCAAAAGCGATGAATTTATCTGTGTTATAAACTTTATTTTTTTCATTAATCTTTTGTTTTGACTTTATCTATTTCAAAAAAACTTTGATTTTCATTATATATAACATGAATTTATCTGTATTATAAATTTTTTGTTGATGAAATTTTAGGTGAATTAATTTGTTTTAATAAAACTTTGATTTCGATGATTCTTTTGTTTTCACTTTATCTATTTTAATAAGTTTTAGATTTCAAAACTCTCTCAGGTCCATTTATCTATATTAATAAACCTTTGATTTTTCTTACATGTAACATGAATAAAATTTTGTTTATTTTGTTTTGAATGCATCTGTTTTTATAAATATTAGATTTTCAAAATATTTCAGGTCAATTTATCTATATTAATAATACTTTGATTTCTATTATATATAACATGAATTTATCTATATTATAAACTTTGTTTTTAATGATATTTTAGGTAAATTTATTAGTTTTAATAAAACTTTGATTTTTATTATACGTAATATAAATGTAAATGTGTTATAAACTTCGATTTTCATAATTTTTTGTTTTGAATTTATTTGTTTTAATAAGTCCTAAATTTTAAAAATTATTTTAGGTCAATTTATCTGTATTAAAAAAACTTTGATTTATATTATATATAACATGAATCTATCTATATTAATATAACTTTAATTTTCATTATATGTCACATGAATTTATCTTTACTATAAAATATGATTTCTTTTAGAATGATCTCGCTGTATAATTAAAAGAAGCTCGACCATTGTGGTAATCAGATTTCGAATTAGACGAATAAATATAACACAAAAATTCTCTAAAAATAGCAAAAAGAAAAGGCATTAAATAATATATTTCTCAAATATTATGAATGTATGTATGATTGTGTACGAGTCTGAGAGAAAAAAATTCAGTAAATGCGTTAATGGAAGAAATATGGAAGCGACAAAATTAGGAAGAAGACTTTTTTATTGGAAAATGTGGATTTAATGCAGAATAATGGTGCGACCTTTTTTCCTGCTAGGCAAAAAAATGTCAGGCATGCAGAGTCAATATAATTTTTGTGATTGGATAAACCATTGACAAAACAAGTGTGACTTGAGTAACTCGAGACAGCTGATGCCATGCAGTATCATTAGGGGGTATTTTTGTTTGCTACACTTTTTTGTGGAACGTTAATCCCAAAGTGATCCAACGTATATTTAAACTCTGAAAAGGTCGTACACTTGGACCTCAGATCTCTTTTTCCTTTTTTCAAAGAGTGTTGAATTGCATCAAAAATATCATGAATACCATCTCGTTCATGAGTTGAAAAACAGAAAAAGATTAGTAGTCTCCACCACTGTGGTGCCAGTGGAAGGTTCTCTTATGCCTAAGTAAGTTTCAATCTCAAAAAACAATAAGATGAATAGCAAGGATAGTCATATTTAATTGAATTCTTCGGCCTCACTAATATATGTAGATGGTTGATCTCTACTGTGTAAGTCCTGCCAGCATAAAAAAATTCTTATAATGAGTTGAGATAGTAATCCTCTAGATCATCCTGAATGATGAACCTAAGACAGAAGATAAATCAAGAAAGCGGTTGGATGTATCCTCGACTTATCCCTTTCGATGTTTGAGTCAGTCGCCGTACAAGTGAAAGCGCACAGTATATTGTAAATTTAAATTGCATATCTGTGTTTAGTTTTTGGAGGAGTATTTATATATTGATTCATAATGATGCCTCTTATCAAGAGTCTCATCCTAAAATTTAATAGTCTAGGTTTGCAATTTGGCATAATGAGCATTATTCATCATGTCTCATTAATGGTAATTGCGCAAGCACCTGGATCTTTTCTTGGGACCATGCCGAGCATTCATGGCTCACTCCCTAGCGATCTAGTGCTTCACTTAGGTACTCAAAGCCCATAGTTGAACTTTTATGAGAAGGCACTAGATCCCCTCGATCTAGTAGCCATTAATGCCTTGAAATTATGATTATTTTTACGTTTTTCGAGGATTAGACAACTATTTATGGCCTGTCATACCAACACGACCCACATTAATGAGCTATCATACTTCATTTAATGCTAGGTTTCATGTAGCATATT